TATATATATATATATATATATACAGGGTCAGAATGGACGAATCAATTTTTTATCCTATGGGATAAAAAATCGATATGTCTAACTTAACTGGATACTGTAGGCCTATTCTCTAATTTTCTAACAATAGTTTCACAAGCTAGTGATGTCGTTTTTTCCCCATATATTATACCTGCGCAACGACAACGACACTGTCGTTAAGAAGTTAGAAAATAGGTCTACTGATGTCAATTAAACTGATGAACGCGAAGTACAAACACGTCCAAAAGTAGATTAAAATTAGATTAAAATGTAAAATTCTATTTTCTTCATAGATATTATGCCACATATTTTTATATACGGGATAAGAGCAAAAATGTAGTATCTTAATTCCTTAATACCTTAATACCTTAATTCTTATACAATTAGACTTCTTCAGATACTATATCAATATGTAGGGTTTAAAAACAAGAATATGTTATAGTCATATTTTATATATATAAGAGCATACTCGGATATAAAGAAATATATCAACGTGCATAACACGTCAACTTATATAACATATGTTTAAAATGCACATCCATGAAATGTATATCCATATATTATCTTACATAATATGTAAGATTCCATATACTTCTTCTTATCCTAATATATTGAATCTTCTATATTAAGTATTTGAAAGTGTCTGACTAGAAAAGGATTAAGAAGATACTAAATTTAGACTATTATCTATATACAAAAAATATGTGGCAAAATATCTCTTCCTATAAAGAAAATAGAATTTCGCAATTTAATATTATTATCACTTTCAGACGTGCCTGTATTTTACGCTCAACAGTTCACACACAATTGACATCTATGCCGCTAAGTCGATTAGATATGTATTCGGTAATTTATTTCATAAGCTACAAAGCTGGTTCATTCAGTCTGATTCACCCTGTATATGCGAATATTCTGCATTTAATTCTAACAATCATTTTTGTATATAAAAACACGTATACAGTTTTATACAGAGTGTGATTCGAAATGATATAACGATCATGCAGATAGAGTAGGTCAAACTGAGCCAGAAAAGTTTTCTATTATTTTGTAATTTTCGCAATAATTTTAGTAATGAATTATTAATTAAATTATAATTATAATTATTAATAAAAAATCGGATAAATCTTTACTGAAACTTACGTAGCTCGGATAACTTTGATCTTGACATATATTGTCGAGATCATGACTCTGAGTAACTGAGTTTGACTTAACAACTAGGTGGCGGTCTTTTATAGTTTCTAAGACATTTAAAGTTAAAATGTATAAAATTAAGAACTGCAGAATGTTTTTGAATGTTGGTTTCTTATACATACTGTATTATACTTTGCTTTGTGTTAAAAAGTGTATGCGTGGAAACAGTGTGTTCCACCGTTCTCTTATGAGGGGGCTCCACTATCAAAAGACTTAATCTAACCCAACCCATACCACAATGATAGATAAATATCATTGTATATCACATCATTATTGTGATATTTAATTACCGCCCGTAGGGAAGGAAGAGGGGCAGAACACAATTTCCGTCATGCATATTTTTTAACATGTTAATGAAGCGAGATTCCATGGGTTTACAATTTAATGAGTTTACAATTTTTCACAATGATTTTTATTATCATTATAATACAGGTTGGGTTACGTTAGGTCTTTTGATAATGGAGCTCCCCCTGTAAGGAAATACACTGCCTTGACAATATATATCAAGGTCATTAAAATCCGTGAGGTCGCTCAACTTATGCAGTTTTACTTTTAGCTATACATATTTAACTTTAAATATCTCAAAAACTATGAGAGACCGCCCTCTAATTGTTAAGGCAAAGTTACTCAGGGTCATGACAACATATATCAAGATCAAAGTCATCCGAGCTATGTAAGTTTTAGTAAAGATTTATCAAAAATCGTCGAGTAAATGCGTATCTGCCCGGCTCACTGACAAAACACACAAGAGATGTGATCACGTAACATTACGCATGTTTGCGGTGTTAAAAGCGCAATAAAATGTTTGGAAGTACATAAGCAGATCTTCGTTTGTAAATACGTCTAACATCTCGCCACATTCCTGACAACTGTGCGTATAACGCTAGGTAGTCGCACTTCGCTCTGCGCTTATCATTTGCCAATTGTGCAGATACACGTTCATTCGACGATTTTTATATAATTACTCATTACTGATTGCCAAAATCGCAAAATGGTAAAAGATTTTTGCTCAATTTAGTCTGCTCTATCTGCGCACATACCGTTTCAAATCAAACACCCTGTATATTGAAAACTTTTTTCAAACTTATAAATGTCTCCAGACCAAGAATGTATTATGTATTTAAATACATAAAGATAAGTTAACACAGATGGGTCTTTTAGCGCCCAATTATCTTTTTATTTTGAATTTATACATTCATCGACAAAATTATCACACAGATATTATATCAAAATTTCGCATAACTTCAAATAAGCATAACTCAGTGAAAAAGTGATTATGAAAAGAGTAGACACATTTTGAAAAATATAACTAACATTACAATGTCCACATAACACAAAGGTTAAAGATAATATATAAGAAGTCTTAAAATATCTTTACAAAAGATATCGAATGGGTATTTTGTAATACTATGTATGCAATAAAATTACTCATTTCTTTCGCAAATCTGTTTATTACAGTTTATAAAAATTGTTTATTACTATTTATAACAATTAATTTATATAGAAATTATAATTATTTGAGAAGGCTGTTATGTTTGGTAAATTCCACAAATCTTCTCTTTCTTAATAAACTAAAACCTAACGGCTGTTCATCGACCAACAAACAATGTGTCAAAGAACTTAAAACATTTTTTTTTGTTGTTGAATTACTGTTGACAAAGAGCCGGAACACAATCTTTTCAAAGCCTTATCTTTGAAAATATATAAAACGCAAAATCAAACGTACAGTGGAACTGTTTTTTAACAGAAATTATCGCTTTTATAGAAATATTCTGTTGACAGAATCATCTACAAACAATAAAATCCTTTAATACTTTGTGAATATGAGTGAATATGAGTTCCGCTCCAAAAATTTTTATGGTAACTATTAATAAAGTAGAATATGCCGACGCATGAGAAGCATGAGCTTTCTGAAGTCGTCTGATGCCGTTATCTTCGAATCTGGAGACGAAAATAAAAATGTCATCCAATCAGAAGTTTTCGCTTAGTAGCCGATGATAAACACGCCAATAAACGATTTAAGAAAAATCAATACATGAAACTAAGAAAAACAGAGAAATCTTTGGAAACTTGCTCAATCATTCGCCAAGAAAAGACACAAAAACAATCACAACCCAAGCCATTTCCCTACCCTACGCAATATTGGAAATTGATTCAAAAATTCCAGTATGCCCCTAAGACCAATACATCTATCAAAATTCTTTTATAAATTCATGACATCAAGGTCACATTTTCTTTTACATCGGTCCTCATACTGAAAACTGCTGTCAAACATTTCAACCCAAATTTCGAAAGTTAAACTCTAAAATTAGAATCTGTGCACGATTTCAAACGTAGTGCTGATAGTGCTGATACCAGTATTGAAACTTCTGTTAATCATCTGCAGGGCTGCAAAATATCTCATTCAAAATATTTATTAACAATCAGCAGTAAGTCATCCTTTTAATTATCTTCTTTTCATAATTTAGCGTGACGCTACTTTTTTGCAATTACTTGTTCGCTTCACTCTTTTGAAAAAATTAGTAACTTCTTCTTTCTCTCTTCTTCTCTCTTCTTGAATTCCTTTTCTTACTCCTGCCGCTGATCTACAGGTTCACTCTTAAGATTCGCAGTTGCTGATTAACTCGATGAATTCTTCTTCTTACTCTTGTCACTGATCCATGGATTTACCCTTAGGATTCGCGGTTATCGACAAGTTTGATGAATTCCTATTATTTGTATATAAACACATAAATGTTATCTATGTACTCTCCTTATATTTTCTCTTAATATTCATCAGTCTTTCTTTTTACTTATTCTATTTCATCATTTTAAACCAAACAGGATTACCCCCCCTCCCTCCTGAGAAAAGCGGAGTTAAAACATCTCCGTTACAATAAAAATAGACGTTAAAACATTTTCATTACAATAAAAAAAAACGGATTTCATGCGCGCTTCGAAATTTATTTAAAAAAATATAAATCGTGACAAATTGTCTCCGCTTCCTCTTCCCGATCCCTCGAGTTTTCCAGGCTGCAAAGAAGAAAACATCCCAATTTTTTTTACACTAATCCTTAAAAATAATTCTCTTTAACATACATACATACTTTAAATTAATTTAAAAATTATTAAACAAATGTATTACTCCGAATAGGATTATATACTTGTTACGATTGTTGGTGACTAAATAATACAAATATAAATTTAATCTGTAACTGTTGCTCCGAATTGTGAGCGAACTCGACATGTATTACAAATCGATATACTTGCGAGCGAGATAACAAATGAGAGACCACGACGTGTCATTTGTTTATTAGGTAGGGTAATATTTGATATTGTATAAATAGACAAGCGTGCGAAAAGACGAACGAAGTCGAGATTGAGTAAGCGAACTGAGCAAATTGTAATAATACGCAAATAAAGACTTTAGTTGGAGAAAACGATTCGAGTATCTAATACAAGCCCGTACATGGTCCTTCGAGCCGGATTGAGAATAAGGCAATTAACAATTACGATTAACGATTAAGCAACTGCGAAAATGAGCGCGCAAGAATTACGCCGCCAACGAGGATATATCAAGGCAAAACAAACACATATTTGGAAGTTTGTGGAAAACGTGGCAAATCAGAGGACGCCGAGCATCGAAACGGTCACAGTATATTCAAAAAATTAGAGCAAGTGTACAAGGAATTTAACGAAATACAGCGGCAATTGGTATGCGTTATCGAGGAGAATGAGCTGCCAATTGAAGATCAACGAGAAAACGATATATTTGAAGAACGATACGTAGAATTGAATGCAACATTGTCGAGATGGCTGCTGCAATTAAACCGACTGTAAGTACAACTAACAGTGACGAATCATTTGCACAAGTGATAGAGCAGCAAACAGAAGTAATTAGAGCGTTAAATTCAAATGGTTCACAAATTGATGCCAGAGTCAAACTGCCGGTAATCAATTTGCCAATCTTTTCGGGAGAAATAGAGGGCTGGACACGGTTTTCTGATACCTTTACCGCATTAATTCATAACAGCGATTTATCGGCAATTCAAAAGCTGCAATATCTGGTCGGTGCACTGACGGGAAGCGCGGCAAAAATCATCGAATCAATCGAGATTTCGGCACAGAACTACGAAGTGGCCTGGAATCTTTTAAGAAACCGTTACAAAGATAAGAAAGCTTTAAAGCGAAGACATCTTCAATGTTTATTTGAAGCACCTAAGGTCGAGCGAGAATCAGCCATTGATATTCAAGAATTAATTAATCATTTCCAGAAACATCTTCGAATTGTAAAATCCATGGAGTCCACCAGTGAAACATGGGCGGATTCTTTGATATTATATATGGTGGAGGAGAAGCTGGACAGAGTTACTCGGCGCCGCTGGGAAGAGAGTATGGAAGGTCGACAAACTGTTACAGTCGATTTATTATTTGACTTTTTACAGCGACGTGTGCAAATGCTTGATCGACTGGGCAGCGCATTCCACAGAGAGGAATCGAACTATAGAGGAGTGGCAGCGAACTCCAGACGAGGCGATGAAACACCGAGGTCGTTAGGGAGAATTGACAATTCAAGAGTCGCTGGAAGAAATGAGGCCTCAAGATCTGCAGGAAGAAGCGAGGCAAGAACATCTAGAAATAATCAAACTGTAAGTTTAGCCGTGTCAACAGTCATCGGGCGCTGTTTTATATGTGGCGGTTCTCATTTAATATATTCGTGTGAAAGATTTTTAAATCTGTCTGTGCGAGAAAGAATTGACGAAGTTAAGCGATTGAAGCTTTGTTTTGTTTACGGAACGATCATTTTGTCAGCGCTTGTAGAGCGAGTTCCTGTCGACAATGCGCGAGGAGGCACAATACATTGTGCCATACAGAACAAGAAGAGCCTCGAGTAGACAAGGTTACTTCAAACATTGAAGCGGTTAACGGAGAAGGTCGCAAAAACAAAAAAGCAAACGTTAATTTATCGGTACATTACACAACGAGTCGCGCGAGATTTGGCGAAATCTTAATGTCAACGGCAATAGTGTACGTAAAGGACTCGAACATGTTCGATCAACCTATTCGCGTTCTTCTTGATAGCGCGAGCGAAGCGAATTTTATAACGAGAGCAGCCTGTGCTAAATTAAATTTAAAATTAGAGGACATTCACGAGGCAGTCTCGGGCATTGGTAGTTCAATTTGTACGATAAATCATGGATGTCAAGTAACGATAAAATCAAGAATAATCACTTATCTATTATCTGCATTTTGTTTGGTAGTGCCGAGGATTACTAGAGAACTGCCTTCGGTGGCAGTTAATAGTGATGCTTTTTCAATAACCGACACGTTAAATTTAGCCGATCCGCAATACCACTCCGTCCGAATCAGATCGACATGCTGTTGGGCAGCGAATTCTTTTTAAAGTTATTAGAACCTGCAAGGATTGAGCTCGGAAATGATTTGCCTACATTACAGAATACGAAATTCGGTTGGATTATTTCAGGTCGAATCCCAGCACAATATATAAAAACGGAAGGAATTAGTCAAATCAATTGTTTAGTTACGCAGAGCTCTTTAAATAAATCTTTAATTAAATTCTGGGAAATCGAGGATTGTTCGAGTCGCGATAATGCAATTTTATCAAGTGAAGAACGAACATGCGAAGAAATATTTAAAGGCACTCATACGCGAGACACAGAGGGCAGAATTGTTGTACGATTGCCTTTCCGAGACAATAAGCATAAGCTTGGCGAGTCGCGATCGATTGCGGAAAGACGATTGCTCTATTTAGAACGTAAATTTCGAAGTAATAACATGTATCGGCAGTTATATATAGAATTCATGCGAGAATACATAAGTCTAAGGCATATGACCATCGTTCCGAGAACTGCTATGACAAGCGAGGCTGTTTATTTACCTCATCACGGCGTTTATCGCGAATCATCTATTAGCACGAAGCTTCGCGTTGTTTTCGATGCCTCGTCTAAGACTAGCTCAGGTTTATCTTTAAATGACACATTAATGGTGGGGGCTACTTTACAAGATCCACTAATTAATATTATTTTACGTTTTCAAACGCATTCAGTGGTAATAACAGCCGATAATACAGAAAATGTACCGACAAATCCTCGTCGATGAGAATGATAGGGATTATCAGCGAATTTTATGGCGCTTTTCGCCAGACGAGCCAATTCAAGAATATCGACTAAACACGGTAACTTATGGATAATCTTGTGCACCATTTTTAGCAATAAGGAGCGTTCGACAATTGGCGAGTGAGGCTGAAAGTCAGTATCCTCAAGCATCACGAGTCTTGCTTCAAGATTTATACGTTGATGATATTTTAACAGGAGTAGATAATATTAATGAAGCGGATATTTTAATTAAAGAATTGACAGAATTATTAAGGCTCGGACAATTCAAATTACATAAGTGGCGATCAAATTATAACGAATTAATCCTTAAAACGAATAAAATTGATGATGAGACTGACTTTCAGGCTATAACTGATGAGCGAGACGTAACGAAAACATTAGGTATTCGATGGCAACCGAGCAGCGATGAATTGCGATTCGAATCTCAATTCACGCATAATGCGAAGTCAAAGCGAAGCGTATTGTCTGCTATTTCAAAGTTATTCGATCCGTTGGGCTTGGCGAGTCCAATAATTATAAAAGCAAAATTGATAATGCAATTCACGTGGCAAATGAATCTTGGTTGGGATGACGATTTACCGGCAGATTTGTGCCGGATGTGGCTGGAGTATGTCCGAGATCTAAGAAAAATTCATACAACGCGAATACCGAGACAGGTTGTGGGCGGTTCGAAATCCGGTGCATATCAGTCTGCATGCGTTTTGTGACGCATCAGAACGAGCTTATAATATGTGTATTTACGTGCGAGCAATTGATGATGCAAATCGAGTTGCGTCGAGATTGTTATGCGCTAAATCACGCGTGGCGCCCGTTAAAAATTAACCATCCTGCGATTGGAGTTATGCGGAGCCGTTTTGTTGGTCGATTTGATGCGGATTGTTCGTGAGTCGTTGACTATTGGGATTCATAAAATCTATGCATGGAGCGATTCGTCAGTTGTTCTTACGTGGATCGCGGGTGAACCGAGTCGGCAGAAAACATTTGTCGGTAATAGGGTCAGCAAAATCCAATCTATCCTGCCTAGCAGTCATTGGGGGCATGTTGCAGGTACAGAAAATCCCGCGGACTTAATCTCTCGAGGCATTAATTTTGACAATTTTCATAGCAATTCATTGTGGTGGACAGGTCCACCGTGGCTTTCGGAATTCAAAGATCCATGTCAAAGTAAGGGCGAACTTTCCGATCGGGAATTTGATATCATACAATCGGAAGAAAAGGGAAATATGCGAGTTTTTGTTGCTCGAGCTAATTCCGAGTCGATAATCGAAACAATGTTTTCTAAATTTTCATCATTAACCAAAATCGAAAGAGTACTTGCTTGGTGTTATCGATTCATTACGAATTCTAGAAACAATTTCGAGAACCGCAATTTTGGTAACTTATCCGTGAGGGATTTGCATCTGTCGCAATTAAAATTAATTAAACATGTTCAAGAGCAGTTTTTTACAAGGGAGTTGGATGACTTAAACAACGATCGCGTAAATAGAAGCAGCGCGCTTGCACATATGAGTTTTTAGATAACGACGGGATTCTCAGGGTGGGCGGCAGGTTGCAGAGATCCGCTATTAATCATGACAAAAAACATCCGATTTTGCTGCCGGCAAGATGTCGATTTGTTGAATTGTTATTTGAACGAGAACATTGTCGTATGCTACATGCCGGTCCACAAGCTTTGTTTTCTTCAATTCGGGAAAGATTTTGGCCTTTGAACGGCCACAACACTGCCCATAGAATAACAAGGAGATGCGTAACGTGTTTCAGGGTTAAGCCAAGGTTGTCAGATCAAATAATGGGACCGTTGCCACCTGATAGGGTTACCGCTTGTCAACGAGTATTTTCGATAGTGGGAATTGATTACGCTGGCCCTATTGTTACAGTTGCGAATAAGGGCCGAGGATAAAGAAGTCGCAAATCATATATTGCGTTGTTCATATGCTTTTCGACTAAAGCGGTTCATTTAGAAGCAGTCAGTGAGTTGACATCGAGTGCGTTCTTGGCTGCATTACGCCGCTTTGTGAGCAGACGAGATTATCCGCAAAAAATTATAGCGACAATGCCACTAATTTCGTCGGCGCAAAAAGAGAGCTTGAGGAATTGTATCGGACAATTAGAACATTTTCCAAATCGATAGAGGAGCATTGTACATCTCAAAGCATAGAATGGAAATTTATTCCCCCCCATGAGCCTCACATGGGTGGTATTTGGGAAGCAGGAATAAAATCATGTAAATACCATTTAAAAAGAGTTGTTGGCGAAACGCGACTCGTTTTCGAGGAATTTATGACTGTTTTAGCTCAAATTGAAGCTTGCTTAAATTCAAGATATGTCAATTGTCCTCTGATCCTAACGACTTAAAGGCTTTGACGCCCGCACATTTTTTTAATAGGGGGACCGCTTATTAGTCTGCCAGATATCAATGTATTAGACGTCCCTATTAACAGACTTGACAGATGGCAATTGACTTAGCGTATAACTCAACATTTTTGGAAGCGATGGAGTGTCGAATACTTAACGTCATTGCAGGGCAAATGCAAATGGACGATCGAAAGAAAAAATCTAGCTGTTAATGACATAGTCTTAATTGTAAGCGACAACATGCCACCCTTGCAGTGGAAACTTGGCAGAATAATCGAACTTCACCCGGGAATTGATGAAAAAGGTTCGCGTGTTAACTATTCAAACCGAAAATAATGTTATCAAGCGTCCAGTCACTAAAATTTGTAAATTGCCTATCGATGAAAAATAAAATTAATCAGGATTAATTGGTGGGCGGGATGTTGGTGTCTAAATAATACAAATATAAATTTAATCTGTAACTGTTGCTCCGAATTGTGAGCGAACTCGACATGTATTACAAATCGATATACTTGCGAGCGAGATAACAAATGAGAGACCACGACGTGTCATTTGTTTATTAGGTAGGGTAATATTTGATATTGTATAAATAGACAAGCGTGCAAAAAGACGAACGAAGTCGAGATTGAGTAAGCGAACTGAGCAAATTGTAATAATACGCAAATAAAGACTTTAGTTGGAGAAAACGATTCGAGTATCTAATACAAGCCCGTACAACGATATAAAACATACTCCTCAATTTTTTTAATGATCCTTTTAATTTTGTAAATCCACTTCACATTACACTCTCATATATATATATATATATATATATATATATACATACATACATACTCTCGCATATTCACTTGTGTACTTATATGTTCTGAATTATCCGCAATCTATATTTGTAACTATTGAACTTATTTTTATTTCTTTCTTTTGTTTTTATAAATTTATCTAATAATGCTTAAAATTAAACATTCAATTTCTTTAAATTTTATTTATTTACAAAAGCCTCACGCATTTCCGCTAATCAGAGAATCACACGAGGAAGGTTCTATTCTAGATTATACTATAATCTATAACCGTTATAGATTAAGTTTTCTGAAAACAGACCAATTAATGTATGTCACAGGTGGGTGTCATAGCGTTTTAGACATTGACTCATTACCCTGCGACAAAAAAGTGCGTTCGGTTCGCAGGTCAACATCTCCCAATATCGACCTACGAGGAAAAAGACTTCTTCGATCATCCTTTCGTGTTATTAAAATCAAAATCATCGTTTCAAAGCTTGGATGTAATAACTAAACTATATAACTAACTATAAAAATTTTATGCTAAAAATTTTTTAAAAATAAACTTTTTTTCTAAAATAAAACGTAAAAAAATAATGAACATGAAATAATGAAATTCTCAAATTA